AAATTCGGTTTACAGCATTTCACTCTGATGAAAGTGCTTGGAAAAGGCAGTTTTGGCAAGGTCGGTATTTGACAAGTCTATCTGGCTGTAAGTAAAAAAAATCAGTTGGCTAGTTCTAATGAAATACCGTTACAGGTGATGTTGGTAGAACTGAAGGGTAAAAACGAGTTCTATGCAATGAAATGTCTGAAAAAAGACGTAATCCTGGAGGACGACGACACAGAATGCACGTATATCGAGCGACGGGTTCTTATTCTGGCCAGTCAATGTCCATTCCTCTGCCAACTGTTCTGCTCCTTCCAGACCAACGTGAGTCTTTTAAAAGGAGCATCCGCTTCAGCACTGTATCAAAGCGGGTGTGATGATCAGCTATGAAGAGTCCAAGCTGGGGAGCGCTGTGAGATGATCCAACTTAGGAATAGTCGCCATTTCCATTTCCAGGCTCTGGGGTTGTTCGCATTCCGGGAGAAATTATCGAACAGTGTCTCTTCAGGATTTCTAACCTACCAATAGCCCGCGCGGCAATTTTGCTATTCCTGATTGTTGGTCGGAGGTGCCACCCCTCCCCTCCTCCCGCTCGACGGCAAATTTTGGAAAATCAGGTAGAATGTGGGTGGATTGTGAGGGATAGGTTGTACTTGTGGTAGTTCATTTTTCGAGTAGAGGGTGGTTCTGACACCGCCACTCCATCTCTCTCGATGCACCCTGTTGACGATGGTGACAACAGCCTCACTGTTTTTATCCACCTGTTTAAAGACTGCACTTGAGCTCGGGCTATAAACAGAGCAAGGACATAGCACTGATGAAAAATAGGCGCTCAGCACGATTTTGCTGTTGCTAATTATATGTACTACCCCGATCAACATTACAGACCAAGTTAGCATACATCTTATTCGTTGCGGAAGCTGGGGCATGTCAGGTGACAGGGTTGGCGCAGCGCCAGCCCTTTTTTCCAACAATTGGTGAAGAACGAGCCGGTGCAGCATCAACACGATCCAGCAACCGCAGCAAATATGGGGCGGTCGGTGAGGGGTGGGGGGGGAGGGGAAAGAGGCTTTTGCACTTTTGCTGCTTTTGCTACTTCCCATCGACTTATAGACCCATCTAGAGCTATTTCATGAGTTCACACGAGTTGACAGGTTCTACCGCGTGGCTCGACGATCTTGCTCCAGGTTCTCAAAAGTTGACAGGTTTCACCAGCGTGAAACTTGTGAACGGGTACTAGCGGAGCAGCATCCACCCCCCCCCCCCTCCCCGTCGCCGAACTGCGCCCAACAAACATGACTCTACCTCCCCTTTCATTTCCCTAGAAGATCCTCGATCGGAGTCGGGAGGAGAGATGTTCTGCAGCCAAACCAGAGAAAAATCTTTTGTGATCCAGTAATGGAGAAGCTTTTGCCCAGTCGCCTCAACACACCCTCTCTCGTAGAGGATTTTCCATATGTGCACAATTTCGAAAACTAATCTCTGGTGTGCCACTTTGATATCGTTCAAGAACATTTCTTTCGCTTAGCCTGCAATCTCAAAAGAACAGGGGTCATGTGAAATGAAATATGACATACTATGGTTTAGTGCTACTTCTGATACATGCTAGATTGTCCTGTAAATGATGCCCATTTCCCTACGTGAATCTTGTTTACCGTGGTGGTGAAATTCGATCAAAGTTTAGCTTTACACCAGGACCTGTACCTGCCATTTTAATTTATTTTTATCGTTTTGACGGTTTTAATGTTTTTAATTGTGAACAATTTCAGGAGTATTTGTTCTTCGTGATGGAGTATTTGAATGGAGGCGATTTGATGCATCATATCCAACAGGTCAAGAAATTCGACGAGAATCGAACTCGATTCTATGCCTGTGAGATCATTGTCGCCTTGCAGTTCCTCCACGCGAACAATATTATCTACCGGTAAGTTAGTATTTCCTCAGAGTAATTCTTGCTTTTACGAAGATGGAACAATTCTCGGGAAGGAAGCTGGTCCCCCTTTATATATACCATTTTCACTTTAAATTCGCCCTTTTTCAAACCAAATTCGTCCTTTTTCAAACCAAATTCGTCCTTTTTCAAACCAAATTCGTCCTTTTTCAAACCAAATTCGTCCTTTTTCAAACCAAATTCACCCTCACTCTTCATCAAGAACCACACTTATTAGGGCGGGCAACTCATCAACCAGATCACGCCAGACATCACTGCGAGCCCCGCCCCGACGGCCACGCCCACTTGTCAGCGCGGACATAGATTCTCAAATCTTGTTTCATAACTTCTGCTTGCTGTTTCCCACAAACACTTTGACTGGAAACCACTGCGTTCACACATGGCCGACTCCGCCCATTCTCTAAAGGGTTTGGCACTCTAGGCTGACCACGCCCACTGGCTTTTCGCGGAATTTCGATGTTTTTTTCAAAATTTTTGCAATTTAGGGTTGCTGCGTGAAGCCCCGCCCGTGTGAGAAGGCTCCGCCCAATTTAAACCGCCCACTTCATCAAAAAATTGGTGCTCAGATCGGCGTAGTATAGAACTATGGCTTTGCCATGCTTCAGGGTCCTCGTACGTCACTCGGAACAAGAAAATCCGGCAAAGTTTATTCCGAATGATCAGCAATACACTAACATGCAAGCCAAGTCTCTATACTGCCGATCTGCACCATTTTTGAAAAGTGGGCGGGGCTTATTCAAAGTGGGCGGAGCATCTCACAAAGACGGGGCTTCATTTAACAGTGAAAAATTGTATATGATGCAAGGTGTGAAGGTCTTGCATTCACGTTTACCTGAACCGTTACCGTTTGAGGGAGCCAAACCTGACAACACTCACCTAAGACAGCTTTCCCATAAGCATTGAAACTGTCACGACTGCGTCACTACACGTGCTACCCTTTCTCGAAAGTGCGAGCGAGAACAGGGCAATGAGCGATGGATAACTATGGGACGCCCTTGTTTTCTCCACACTCCCATCGCGCTACCCCCAATGCTGCAGTTTGCGTCTGTACCAAGATCCCGCAAACCTTGCACTCAACTGCGCAGGAGAGCATCAGAAGTGTATGAGGCGGCGCGGCACCCAGTCCGCCGCGTTTGACTATGGGGTTTAGGCGCGTGGCTGGCCGACGTAGGCAGTTCGGGCGACGGGCGGAGTATGGAGCAGTGCCGCCTACCCTCTAGGCGGCGGTTTCTCGCGGCGTTTTGAGCGAACCAAGCATGTCCTAGTTCAACTACGACTCATTCACTTTTGAAATATGGCAAGGGCCGCGATCCTACAATGAGCGTGCAGTTAGCCTGTAAAGGACTGCTATTCGGCTGGCAATCTAAACAAAAGTAATATCCCTTATTGGAGCGACAGCGAGGAAGAACGTGACAACCAGAGCCGTGGAGCCCTTAGTGGCCCTCACTCTGCCCACTGGTTTCTGTAACTAATTATCAGCCACCGTATCGGAAGGCCGCGTTCACTCAGTCTCGTCACGCTCCTCCCACGGTAATGTGTATGATATCTGTCTAGCCGACTCCACCAACGATCGACCTAGTGACCAGGCAGCGTCCCAAGAGGTGAGTGAGTGTACGGAGGCAGATATGGAGGTGCGCAGACTGCTGGTAGAGAAGCGAGAAGTAGCGAGCGGGTGGGAATGATATTCCCCACTATTCTTTCCCACCCACTAGTCGCTACTGCAAAGTATGAACGCAGTCTGAGTGATTATGTGACAACATCAAGTGCGCTCTCCATCTTGTTGCAAAAACTATCGCGCAAATAGGTGCTGAATGTTGGCTGTCACTTAGTGAAGAAGGGAAAGGCTTTGAGGATGTCGTCAGGTCCTGCTGAGTCGCTTTGGGCACGCCTTTTGCTGTGAAACACGTCTTATTTTGCCTGATCGCCGCTAGTTTCCCTTTCTATGTATCTTCTAGATATACTCGCCCTATAGACATAACCACATTCTCACAATCAACACTTCTGAGATCTGTTGGGATAGAATAGAAAAGATTCATGACAAATTTGAACCAGAGACGGAGGGGTTCCGATGAAAAGGCAGAGTTTGTCTATAACTGAATTTCATGTGGTTACGCTTGAACTTCCGCATATGCCTAGTCACATTAAAGTACACACTATGTTCAACCCACTATTTTCAGAGATCTGAAGCTAGACAATATTCTTTTGGATTCGGAGGGACATGTAAAACTAGCCGACTTTGGCATGGCCAAAACGGAAATGAATCGTGAAAACGGAATGGCATCGACTTTCTGTGGAACACCTGACTATATCAGCCCTGAGGTCTAGATTCTTTTCAGCTTCACAGTTTCTGTTCACATTTCATTCAATCACTTGCAAATTGTGCTTTCAGATAATCAAAGGGCAACTCTATAACGAAGCCGTCGACTTCTGGTCGTTCGGAGTCTTGGTGAGTTCTTCAGCCGTTCCGCCAGACAGAGGGTAAAACATTCCTCGTTGATCAACTTCTATTCAGAATCGTAGGGTATATGAATGTGATTTGCCCTTTACAATAAGCTGCACGAGCTGGCCAATGTGCTATTCAGGAATTTTTAGTGGGAATTGAACAAAGCTGTTGGGATGAAAGTCTTGACTGACAATGATTAGATTCGATTCGAGATCCGATGCACGAACCATGGGTACATATAATAAGCACAATCCTGGGTTTAGTGAGCGATACCTTTCACCGCTACACCACGACGTTTAATCCTGTTAGGCGATTCTCTGATGTTACATAATGAAAAGGCGGAGGTGGTGCATGACAAGTGGCACGCCTACCACTCGCGCTGTCCTGGGTTCAAATCTCGGGTCGACTGTCGTCGAGGCCAACCGAGTCGGGACAGTACACTCCTTATCCCTGAGACAGAGTAGGCGTGGCATTTGAACATGGCACGGAACTGGTTACTCGTGGGATATTCCAGTCTCTGGGACAACTGTCGTCTTGTTCTGCGTTGGACAGAGACACGACAACAATTGTGCCAAGATGAGTGTGCCTTGCCAATGAAAATCACTTTCACTGAAAGCCACTATGTAACAAAGTATAAAAAGACTAAAGTCTCCGCTGTTCTTCAATCCTTTGTAGGGAGCGGCATGCATGCTACTTCCATTCAGAAACGTAGTGGCTTACTGCACGCGATGTGGCCTATAGTAACTTACGAGGCCGATCTCTTCCAGACGGATCTGGTACCAATCTATACTAGAAATCCCTGAGGTCGGGTAGGCGTGGCCGCATGTTCCAACTTAAGCTGAAGGTCTCTACGCTTCTGGTGAGGTATTTTCATACT